TTTGCTGCAGATGCTGATATTTATATTTTGAAATTCTGATGCTTGCGATGTAAATCATTGAGATGTTTCTAACAGTAGAGCAGATACTGACAGAAAATGCTCTAAATATCAGTCGCTCTATATCTCCAGTAATCTCAGTAAGATGAGATTGAAATGCTCCAAACATATAATGCAGTGATTGAGAGCTGAAGAAATAAAGGCTCCTCAGAAGATGTGAGATGTTCTGGAGGCTTGTGAAGATCATTCCTCCGCTGAGGAACAGTGAAAGTAAAGCTTCTGGAAACAAACGCTCCTCAAAAGATCCTGAGGATCAGATTTGAGACTCTAAAACATGATTGATGGAGAATCAAGTAAAGCTGAGCTGCTTCAGTGCAGTAAGTGTTCATCTGGAGATATCACTGCAGTTATTCTGACCTTTACTTGATCAAAATCAGTCAAAATTTGACACGAGAAGCTCCAGCTGAAGCTGGACGCTTGTACAATTACACTAAAAGAGCTTCGACTGGATAAAACACTCTAAACTCTCAATCAGAGACAGAATGCATGGAGGAGATGGAAAGTTCTGATCATTTGGAGATCTTTAATGTTTCTGTATCTGATCTTCTCAGGTGTCCATGGCTCTCGCTGAACGTGTCTCCTGTTTTCCCGCCATGCGTCGGGATCGTCTTCCTCTTCGTTATGGCGAACTTCATCATGGGGAGGTTCATGGATGCCGGCGTGTTCCCGAGGGGTCAGTGGAGTCAAACACACGGTTGCACCAGCTGGACGTACAATGCACTTTAAGTCGTTCATAGAATTTATACCCTTTGCACCATCTCGGCGTAGTGCTACATCTGAGACTAAATCTTACGCCTAGTCAGAGGTGATGGGTGTAAAGTGAAAAGTCATTTGCTCGGACTAGGGATGTAATGATTAACCGTGAGCCGGTTGAAAATCGATTCAAATATGTGACGATTCAAATCGGTTGAGATGCTAAACAAATCGTGATTCATTTAGGGGTAGGCGTTTATATGAATGTATGTCTGAGGGGAACTTGCTGTCTTCAGAAAAATTTAGATGGTATTTTTCTTTTAATCTTGCCTCTGTATAATGCATATTAAAGTTCATAAGCGCAGCGCTGCTTTGTTTACAGCGGTAACCAAGGAAACACTGTATCATTGCTGTTCATAAGCGCAGCTCTGCTTTGTTTACAGCGCAAGGAAACGCTGTATCATTGCGGTTCATAAGTGCAGCGCTGCTTTGTTTACAGCGGTAACCAAGGAAACACTGTATCATTGCTGTTCATAAGCGCAGCGCTGCTTTGTTTACAGCGGTAACCAAGGAAACACTGTATCATTGCTGTTCATAAGCGCAGCGCTGCTTTGTTTACAGCGGTAACCAAGGAAACACTATCATTGTTGTTCATAAGCGCAGCTCTGCTTTGTTTACAGCGGTAACCAAGGAAATGCTGTATCATTGCCGTTCATAAGTGTAGCACTGCTTTGTTTACAGTGGTAACCAAGGAAACACTGTATCAT